GTTGCGGTGCTACACAATGCAAGCAGGTATAATCCGATTAACCAGAAGTTTTTTATGGCTTTTTGGCAGTACTATTTTTCACGCGCCAACGCGCCGCCGTTGGGAGTAGAAGTAGTTTTTGACATGGATTTGTGTTTTTTTTACTTGTCGGTTTGTAGCATACAGCAGGTCAGAAAATCCGTGAACCACTGCTATAGTCACGGGTTACAATCATGGCTTCTTTTACATTTTAGAGAATGATTGGTTCTTCAAAAGAATCAAATTTACTTAAAAGTTACTTATTTTGTCCATATGATTTTGATTCTTGTATCTTTTTTAAAAAGTAAGTATTAGACAACGTGACATTGATCAGACTGTTTCATTTTATTAATTAATTCAATTAAATTGTTCAGGTACCGAATCCAAGTTGCGAAAGCACTACATGTGGCTTTAACCTAACCTACGGCAGCTCCTCCATCGCGGCCAGTTTGGTCCAGGACACCATCACCCTCGCCACCGACCCAATCCCCGGCTTCACATTTGGCTGCGTTAGCAAGGTCACCGGCAGCTCCGTACCAGCACAGGGATTATTGGGCCTGGGCCGAGGCCCATTGTCATTATTGTCACAAACCCAAAATCTCTACAAGTCCACATTTTCTTACTGCTTGCCTAGCTACAAGTCTCCAAACTTTAGTGGGTCACTCAGGTTGGGGCCCAATAGCCAGCCCATTAGAATCAAATATACCCAATTGCTGAAAAACCCAAGAAGATCATCCCTCTACTATGTGAACCTCGAGGGGATCAAGGTTGGCAATGGATTAGTGAAGATCCCTCCTAGTGCATTTGCACATGATCCAAACACTGGTTCAGGGACAGTCATTGATTCTGGTAAACTTTAACCATCTTTTTATGCAGTCGTTAACCATCTCGTTTATAAGTTTAAGCCACTAAAATTAGGTCATGTACTCAACATGTTCCATCATGAATAGTTCGAATTTCCATTTTAGTCAAAGCTTTGTGATGTACACTTTTCACGAGACTTGAAATTAGGTTTTTGTCCACAATCATCTCATCTGAAGTTTAAGGTATTGGAGAAGGAACACGTGCATTCTTTTCGAGTAATGCTATTTATCTTCGCCAAAGAGTAGGGGGCAGGCCAATGCTACATTGTCCAATTGAATTGAATGGATTTTATATATAGTTATCTTTGTTTTCATAAATTAAGATGGTGACATAAATCTTGTTTCTACGTAACCAGGAACCGTGTTCACCCGTCTAGTTGAACCAGCCTACATCGCAGTGCGAGATGAATTCCGACGTCGAATGGGCAAGGCAGTTGTGTCCTCCCTCGGCGGCTTCGACACGTGCTACACGGTTCCAATCACGGTGCCAACCATGACCTTCATGTTCTCAGGAATGAACATGACATTGCCACAGGACAAGTTCATTATTCGCAGCGCTGTCGGCACCACCTCTTGTCTAGCCATGGCAGCCGCGCCGGATAACTTCAACTCTGTGCTCAATGTGATTGCCAGTTTTCAACAGCAGAACCACAGAATCCTAATTGACACACCAAATTCCAAGCTTGGTGTGGCACGTGAAACCTGCAGTTGATTGATTTCTTAATCTGGTTGAATTAGGATTTTTAATTTCTTCATGCCTTTGTTTTAGTTGTATTTCTTCTATGAGGTTTATCCTCGGTATTGATGCTGACACTTGAAATGGAATGATTTCTTTTTGTAAGTATAAATGTTATGCTTCAAGAAATAAAAATTGGACTCGCATTGCACTAATCCTCAAGGTTCTGGGGTAGATCCAGCACTTGATGAGTCGGTGCGGCCGTCTATGTCGGATTCGTTGACATCGAACGGAAGAGTGTGCTGAGTGGTTGGAAAGGCAGCGCTTTTCTTTATAATTAAACACGGGTTCGAATACTTTCAACAGCACTCTTCCTTTTAATTTTTAAAACTGTGAATAATAACTAAATATTAACTAATAATTGTATTAACATTCAACAAACGGGAATGAAGCTCATATTGCAGAGAGGTCACATTATATGTGAGAGGTATGGGGATCAATTCTATGTACTTCCACTTTTTTGTTTAATTTTTTAATACAATAAATAATGACTAAACAATTATATATTATTAATTTTCATTTTTGAAATAATTTCTTTAAAAATTTGTTGACTCAAATTGTTACTTCATAATTTATACACTTTTATTGTTAGGTTTTATCAATTTATTTTATAAAATTTAAATTTGGACAATTTATGTATTTTTTTATTCTTTTAAGAGTTTGAAAAACCTTTTTTTTTTTTTGAGATTAGAAATTATTCTAATTCTAAAAGTCATTACTTTTAAAATTTTGCGTAACCTTCGTCTAAGCTAAGAGCATGTCTTTATCATTTAATCATGCTTTATGTATAAATTTCATCTTATTTCGCTTAAATTTGTAAAAAATTTGAAACTTGATCATACATATAGATTACAAAATGTATTTTTTTCTCATTGTTTTGGGTTGTATTAGATTATATTTTTAAATGTATATGACTTTTATGTTTTAATATGTTTATAAATTGATCGAAATTTGTTTAATTTTATTTAATTAAATATTGATAAATAATTTTACTTTTGCAACCATGAACGGTCAGCAGCCACCCTAGTTGACTCAATATTTTGGATTCGTCACTGTCAAAGTCTAGTTTTTTTAGTTGTAATCTGTCACTTGCTTGTCACTCTCTCATAGAAATTCTATCTCTTTTATCGAGTTCGATCTGACTTTATTCAGGTCCAATACAAGTCGCTTGAATTTACCTATCTTAAAATATTATTCCGGCAAAACTGGATGATGTAAAATACAATCAAATATGAACGACATTAAAAAAGAAAGAGGAAGAGGAATGATGGAATAGAGAGAATTTAGAGAGAAAAATATTCATTTCAATTATGACATTACATAAGCACCCTTTGTTCATTCATTCCCAGTACGAAAATTTTACTGTCATCTCCAACAGAAACCGAACCCCGGATTGAAAGCCACTTTTTACAAATGCTGCAATTCCAATGGACTTGGATTTATTGATATGAGGGGCAGAAGCTCCTCAATTTTGTCTAATGCTGCAGCGTATTGTTCTTGAAGAGTCACATATACTTCCATGCCCTTGCCATATCTGTTGTCGAGAAACATGACATCGTTGAGCTTTGGAGAGTCGCAGGAATCCGTAGACACATAATTTGCAACCCATATGGGCTTTCCCAAACCAAAGCCAATATCACATACACCAAAATTGCACCAACTACTGAAATTCAAACAATTAGCCTCTCCATGAATCAATGCATTAGTCTCTTCAAGATTTTTAATGTAGCCAATCAACCCTTCGTCACCCTGCATTATTTTTACGAAATTGCCATCAATTCGTCGTATTGATTCCCTCACTTTTGTCACTAAATTCGCTTGATCATGGCCAGTAAGTTTCATGCTTTCAGCTGCTGCTACTGCTGCAATCCATAAGAAGTTGCCAAAACAGTTTTCGGAGAAGGGTGGCACAGCTCTACTTCTCAGGTCCACTGCATGCACCATTAGAGATGGCAAATTATTTGCAGCTGCACAAGCAGCCATGAAACATTTCCAGATGAATGCTGTCATGACTTGAACACGTAAACCGGGTGATTTCGCTTTTAGAGTGGATATGGCTGATGAATCGAACACGTATCTCTTTAATACGCAGTTCCCCGTGATTAGAAATGGATGAAAATTAGAAAACAAATATGATTCTTCTGGAATTTTATCATTTGGGGTAAAGAGAGACTGAGCAATGTAATTGGGACATTGTGCTTCAATAAATGTTAGAACTGTTGGGAATCTACTTAACATTCGCAGCGAAAAATTAAAACATATTTTGATTCCCACCAGGATTCATCTTTGTGTTTAGATAGAAATTATGATAAAAGTGATATCTTTTCACTATCTGCAAACTCCTTTGCCTTATCTTTGTTCCCACAACTTGGATTTGTCTCTCACAACCGTCCAATTGTCCAGTCTCCAACGGTGATCCACACAGAGAACAAGATTGTAGTATTAGGGTTTTTTCTTGTGCTAACAAAAATAATAAAATCTCTCTTGAATTTGAAAACCTTAGTTATATTTATATAAGTCCAAATGGCTTGGCTTGACCCGGTCCAATATTTAATTAACCCCTTTAATTAAATCCGATCCGTGAACTAATTAATCCAATTAATCAATTCGGTCCTATAAATATGCAACCCAATTAATTAATTTATCCAACTCTTATTAAATTAATTAATTGACAAATCACAATCTTCCAGTTCTCCTTTTGTGTGTGACCCATCAGGTTCCTGATCACGATACCTAACGACGTGAAATATTATTTTGATATAATCAAAATCGATAAATTAAAAATCCTTTTAATTTATCACCAATTCACACTCGTTGTCCCAGATTGACATCTAGCAATGTGTCACGACAATACATGTGACAGGAAATGTCACGTGGTATGACAAAACCAAATTCGTTTGTTTACCGTGAAAGTATAATCCCTTCGTCAATATGATTCGATCAATTACGAGATATGGAAATGTGTCAATCTCGATTATCGATCATATCTTTCACTCCACTATTAAGTCAATATAAGTCGAAAACTCCTTTTCGACTTATGAGTACACCTTGGCGAAGGATTTTGTTATCGACTTAATTGAATGAAACGCTGATCATAATATCTTCCCATCTAAGAGTGAAGAATCCTCTATTGATCATTCACAACTTTCATATGATTCTTAACATACCCGAACGATGCCGTATTAGCGGCACTTGGCAGAGCAACATCCAACACCGCCAAAATATGACTGTCCTCATATAAGGTACCATAACGACCTCGAGTCAAAGGACCAATTTCACTACCGAACGTTAGAGATTAACCACTGACACTCAGATAGTTATCCATGTAAAATCTCTCGGTGGGTCTCCAATATTTTGTTCTATAACAAAACATTAACGTGTTCATTTAAGTGTCACCACACTTTAACTTGTGAGATCAGCTTCTTACTTCACAAGTAAGAAATGTCACACGTGATGGTCTATCCATAATAACGATATTTGTATAGATCAATTTGCTTCTCCCATATCGTTCATAAATAAATCCTTTAACAACCATTATTTCAACGATTGAAATATAGGGATGTCGTTTTCTATAATATTAGGAATACGACAATACTATCACTATCTTCTTGTAAACACACAATTCGTCTTCAAATTTGATAAAATCAAACACTTTGACTTTTTCATCAAATCGAAAATTTTAGCTCCAAGAGACTTCTCTTAACCTATAGTCATGGTATGCAACTGTTGTAAGCAAAATCCGAATGGACTTCAGCAAGGCTACAGGAGAAAGATTTCACCAAGGTCAACACTTAACCTTTGTTGCTAACCTTGCTTTGTATATATGGATATTCCCATCCATATCGACATTTTCCTTGTAAACTATCTACAAAAACTTATATGTTTTATTCCATCAGGAGGCTTGACCAAGGTCCAAACCTTGTTCACATACGTCAAGTTCATTTCGAGTTTCATGGCCTCTTGCTGTCTCTTTTAAGTCAACACTTGACTTTATTTTGGTGCAACTAGCGGGTTCATTATCCTGGATCAGTAAGACCTGATTAGTAATCGTGAATTCGCACCTTCTTCAAGATCGAATGATCCTACTAGATTTAAATAGAGCTATCATGTCTTCATGAGTCTCTACTTCCTGATCAAAAGTATGTCCCATATCAGATATGAGATCAAAATCGAATTCATCTACTTGAATAACTATATTTGTGAACTTTTGAACTCTTTCATATTCTATTTTGCTCCCACTATCCTCCCATAGAGTAAACATTTTCTCAAAGAAGACGATATGTCGTGAGATGAAGACTTTCTTCACAATAATAGAATTTATATTCAAATATCTGCTTTGAATATCCCACAAATATGTATTTATCGAATTTAGTCTCAAATTTATCCGATTTAAGGCGCTTCAAATAAGCGTTATGGCCCAAAACTTTCATATGAGATAAATTGGGACTATTGCCTTTCCATAACTCGTATGGAATTCTGTTAACCAACTTAGATTTGTCATGTTTTAGTGTGTTACATACTGCAATCAGTGCATGATCCCAAAATGATTTTTGGAGATTTGCATGACTTGTTATTAATCGCACTATATCTAATAGTAAATGATTTCTCCTTTTAGATACACCACTATGCTGCAGTGTATGTGGAGGAGTCCACTGCAAGATAATCTCATTCTCTCTTAAATAATCTAGATTTTATTTTTAAGATGCTCTCACTTGATCGAATCTTAATGTGAGGGTATCTTTACCTATTTGCTTCTCTACTTTTAGTTTGAGTTCCTTGAACTTTTCAAGAGTTTCATGTTTGAGTTTCATCAAGTATACATGATCATTGATGAAATAAGAGAAACATTATCTGATATCAATTGACATGAGTCTATATGCATCACTATGCATTAGATCAGTAATTATGTTGACCTTTTTTCTTTTCAAGTAAAAGAAGATTTGGTCATTATGTCAGACATGCATAATTTGTGCTTGTCAAAATCAATTAATTCCAAGTATACATCTTTATGTAACTTTGGAATTGCATTTCATCTATATGACAAAGTCCGCCATGCCAGATTTCGGTAATAATTAGATTTTCGCATTTATGCCTTATAATTTCTATACTCATTATAGAATCCTTAGTATTAAAGAATATAAACGTCGTTTTGTAATTTACCATAGCCATTAGAATTTTTATCAAGATAAACAAGAACAACAATTGTCCTTAATATTAAAATAGTTCATGTCTAAACATGAAATTCATTTTAATGTTCCAACTATGGTGGGTACAAAGCGACATTTCTCTAATTCCAATACTAAACCAAAAGGCAATGACAAAAAGTATGCTCCTACAGGCAATGCAGTAACCGTTGCTCATCTTCAACGTATAGATTAACTTCTCCCACTTGCAGTGGTCTAGTTCTATTTAGTTTCTTTATATTTGTATAAATATGAGATCTACATCTTGTATCAAATAATTAAGAGACTCGTGAAGTAGACGTAACCCACACAATATTCCTTCAATGACCTTTCATTCTATAATAAAATTAAGGGTCATTAGATTTGGTATTGTCCTTCGCTTAGACTGTTTTAATCATATTGGGTGCTTTCCCAAAGCCCCTTTAGACTTCATTTTAATACCCTTAGAGGAATCAATGGCTTGCCAACTTCTAACTTTGTTATTAAGCATAACAATCCTAAACATGTTAAGCAACTTAATGAATATGCATTCGAGCTTATTCATATCATAATTCATAATTAGTTGCGAATAGCTCTTTTCGACAGAGATTGCATAACAAAGTCAATACTTAGTTCATGGTTCATGATTGAACATACTTGAGACACTTCTCAACGTCAATCACCTTCAGTACCTTAGCACTGACTAAAGATCGCTCTGTCATTTTGCATCGGTATAGTTTCTTGAAAGTCTCGCATCCTTCCACACATGATTATTATCATACAACTCTTTGAAATGAAAAATCATGCATCAACATCTATACTCTTAAGTTGCTTTTGTAACTCAGGTGACATAATGCAAACATCACACATGTTGCAGTACTATCGTCATCACTGTGTTTATTACAGTAGCTACCTCTTCCTTAATCGAGTCATCAGCAGGTGTCTCTGGAAAGGGATACTCAAGGATGTGACCAATTTTCTCATGTATGAGAATAATTCTCAAATTGCGGTGTCAATTAAGAAAATCTGGTTTGGTTGTTGGCATCTAGTATGCCATTTAAAATATATGGTTACTTAAGATTCAATGTAAATGACCAAAAGAAAATGAATAATATATAAAATGCATCAATTAATTTAATATGGACTTTTATTAAATTAATTATACTCCCACTGTTCAACTAAAATTTATGAACCTCTCACATAAATTTATGGAGTCCATACTTGACTCTCAGTAAGCTAGGATCCCATCAATTATATTAAGACCTTGATTGTACTCAACAAACCTTAATATAACTTTTGGGTTGATACAATTATTAATTGTATCTTCATACAACTCCCAAATCATTAAGCTGACAACTCTTTGTTTTCACACATCTTATGTGTTAGCTTAACATGCCTCTAAAATTTATCTCCTTGAGTGTATTCAACAAAAGATAAATTTTAGTTAAGTCAAACCTGTCATTCAGAAATATCAAATATTTTATAGTGTCAAACATATCCCTAATAGACCAGCCTTGAGTGTACTCAACAAGTTGAGACGATTTGGGACTCTGATTTTTCACTATAATGGTGGAAGATTATTATAAATGTGACTTAATATTTTATGGAGGGATTTTGCATTCAAAGGTCTCATCGTAATAATAATATATATTTTATTATACATCTATCATGCAAATAAATATATATAACGTAATATAGTAGTGTGGATGATTATGAAATTTTACTATCTAGTCTTCCCGAGTCATAAGGAAACTAGTTGGTCAATTCCTATGGGGTATAGCATTGAACAGTATCAATGCACCATTTTCATAGTCTCCTCTTCTTCTTGTTTCTTCAATTAGTCCAGCTGCAATTTGTATCCTATACTAGTTGGCACGCAGGCCTAAATGAAATTAGATTCGCAGGCCCATAGTAATAATAATAATAATGGACTCACGGGTCCAAAATAATTAAGAGCTCGCAGGCCCATAATAATAACAATAATAACGAGCTCGCGAGCCCAAAACATGACAAGAATAAAATAAACCATGTAACATATCCACGTGGTCGAATCCATAATCGTCCACTAATAATACATTCATCACATAAATGCATGCCTATACAATATCTAATATTATATGCAAACATGTTTTAAGTTTCTAGCAATTAAAATCGTCTAAACTCTTTTAGACAAATGGATAGGAACAATTAAATAATTAATTAATCATATTAATTAATTAATTTAATTAGCGGGTATATTTAATTAAAATCAAATTCTAATTAAATATCAAATTAGAGTCCAACTCTGATTCCACAATTATAGGGCGAGATTATTTAATTAAAATCAAATTTTAATTAAATTTTAAATTAGAGTCCAACTCTAATTTCAAAATCTAAGGCGGTTGAATTTAATTAAAATCAATTTTTAATCAAAAAGTAAAATTAGAGTCTAACTCTAATTCCAAGATCTCAGGGCAAACTTATTTAATTAAAATCAAATTTTAATTAACAATGTATTAGAGTCCAACTCTAATTTTTAAGGGGGAAAATAAAATTTAGGGTAAGACAATTTAATTAAAATCAAATTTTAATTAAATGTCAAATTAGAATACAATTCTAATTTCTAAAATATATTCGGGTGAGTAATTAATTAAAATCATATTTTAATTATGTATTAAATTAGAGTCCAACTCTAATTTAAATTGAATTACTATTTTAATCCAGGATAACATTCCTAAATAAAATAAAATTCAACTTAGGGGTCAAAGTTTAATTTTTAAGTTAAAATCATATTTTAACGAAAATATTGAAAGTCATCAATTTTAAATAAAATCTCACTTTGGCCCAAATTATTAAATATGGGTCAAACCCAATTAAAAACCCAACTTTAAAACCATTTACTATTTATATTCAAAACCACTTTTGAAAATTGCAAGTTGACCCGAGAATGAAATTAAAAGCAAGTCCCTCAATTTTGAAAATTGCATGACAAGCCCTCCATTAAAATTTGCAAAATGACCCTGGAGACTTAATTGCAAGTAGGGGCTCACAATTTCATAAATTGCACAAGACCTCCCGCCTACACATCTCTCTCACCCAATTGCTGAAACCCTAGGAGACCAATTCCTTTTCCTTATTTATTTATTTAGTTCTCCTCCCTCCCCTCGGCGTCGACAGTGATGCCGGCGCCTGTTAACTAACTTGCGGCAGGGAGTCGCCTTTGCGAGCTTCCTGTCGCGTGTAGCAGGAGCTGCTGCTGTCGTTCGACAGCAACAGCCTCGCTGCTGGAAATATAGCAACGGCGCTCGTCGCTGCCCATGGCAGCGAGCGACAACACTTGCTGCTGGCTGCACCGCCTCCCCTGCCGGTGGCAACACTTGCTGTCGGCTGCACCGCCTTGCACAATTATTATTTTTTTCGCCTAAAAATTATTTTCTAATTCAAAACAAATTTTGAAGATGAAAATAAATTTCTAATTGCTAGATTCGAAAACAAAAACAGCAATCAACTTTTGATTGTTCCCAAAAATTAAAAATAATTTCTAACAAACAAAAAGTAGGCTCTGATATCACTATTGGGAATCTACTTAACATGCGCAGCGAAAAATTAAAACATATTTCGATTCCCGTCAGAATTCATTTTTGTGTTTAGATATGAATTGTGATAAAAGTGATATCTTTTCACGATCTGCAAACTCCTTTGCCTTATCTTTGTTCCAGTAACTTGGATCTGTCTCCCAAAACTGGCCAATCGTCCAGGCTCCAACGGTGATCCACACAGAGAACAAGATTATAGTCTTAGGGTTTTTTCTTGTACTAACAAAAATAATAAAATCTCACTTGAATTTGAAAACCACAGTCATATTTATATAAGCCCAAATGGGCTTGGCCTGACCCGGTCCAATATTTAGTTAACCCCTTTAATTAAATTCGGTCCGTGAACTAGTTAATCCAATTAATCAATTCGGGCCTATAAATATGCAATCAAATTAATTAATTTATCCAACACTTGTTAAATTAATTAATTGACAAATCACAATCTTCCAGTTCTTCTTTTGTGTGTGACCCATCAGGTTCCCGATCGCGATATCTAACGACGTGAAATATTATTTTGATCTAATCAAAATCGATAAATTAAAACATCCTTTTAAATTTATCACCAATTCACACTCGTTGTCCCAGATTGACATCTAACAATGCGTCACGGCAATACATGTGACGGAAAATGTCACGTGGTATGACAAAACCAAACTCGTTCGTTCACCGTGAAAGTATAATCCCTTCGTCAATATGATCTGATCAATTACGAGATATGGAAGTGTGTCAATCTCGATTATCGATCATATTTTTCACTCCACTATTAAGTCAAGTCGAAAACTCCTTTTCGACTTATGAGTACACCTTGGTCAAGAATTTTGTTATCGACTTAATTGAATGAAACGCAGATCATAATCTCTTACTATCTAATAGTGACGAATCCTCTATTGATCATTCACAACTTCATATGATTCTAGACATACCCGAACGATGTCGTATTAGCAGCCCTTGGCAGAGCAACATCCAATACCGCCAAAATATGACTGTCCTCATATAAGGTACCATGACGACCTCAAGTCAAAGGACCAATTCCACCACCGAACGTTAGAGATTAACCACTGACACTCAGATAGTTATCCATGTGGAATCTCTCGGTGGGTCTCCAATGTTTTGTTATATAACAAAACATCCGCGTGTTCATTTAAGTGTCATCACACTTTAATTTGTGAAATCAGCTACTTACTTCACAAGTAAGAAATACCACACGTGATGATTTATTCGTAATAACGATATTCGTATCTCGTTATTACTTACGATTACGGACGATTTAAGATTCAATTATATGTAATTGTATATCACAATTACAACTCCTTGTGATTAACAAATTTCGAAGATTTGAATATACGGACTCTATTATTTAATTTAATTATCTATTAATTAAATAATAGACGTGCCATTAAATTGTATTAATTATATATAAAAGTATTTAAGTTTAAAATTGATTGGACTTAGATCATAACACTTACAAGAGCTTCAACTGCAGTTGTTGCCTAAGCTTTAAGAAATGAGCATAAAGTTATTCCACCCGCTACTGCGTGGGAAACAATTACGCGGTTGACCATTCCACCACAATCAAAATGGTTTGCTTGTATCATCAAAATATTGGTTCCCGACGGAGTCCAACTCAATTCGTTTGGAAGGAAGTTTTGAACCAAATCCAGATCAGGGTTTCTGAGAAAATCTGATAACTGACCTTTAACTTTGGCCACCACAAAAGGGACTGCTCCATCATTACAGTCGACAGAGAAACTGTCTCCGATGATCCCTGCAAATGGGTAGAAGCGAGTTAAAATCAGAGAAAGGGATTTCTTCAGAACAAGAGTTCTCTGGGAAAGCAATCCCTTGGCATCACTCGAAGCTGCAGAATCCGGAAGAAAATAGAGGACAACGGGATGAAAATAGGGTGGAATGATCTGATCTAGCAAGGAAAACTTGAAGGTTCTGAGGTGAAGAAATGTTGGTGAAGAGGGCTTAATGTTCTCTCTTGATATAATCTCAATTTCCATTGTCAATGTGGTTTGAGAAGAAAGTTCAAACCTGGATCCATGGCCTTCTTATGCACCCAAACAACACTTGTCATGTCAAGTGCATTTTCCTAATGTTATATGGCAACAATTCTTGAGTCTGTGAACGTGTCATGCCAATATTCAAAAAGTATACAACACTTGGTGGTTCCATCATCGCAGTGCGACACCTCGCAAATTTTTTACTTATTAAAATTTATTTTTAATCAAAAAATAGGAGGAAAGTCTTGATTTTAAATATATTATTGAGGGACGAAATTAGAAATTATGATTTATTATGGGACTTAATTGAGTGAAATTGAAAAGTTGGATTGAGGACCAAAAAGTTAAAAAATTTAATGTCCTCCCTAACCATATGGTCAACTATGAGACACCAGTACGACTCGAGTGTTCATTAAAATTTTACATTATTAAATTATATACAAAGAACACGATGAAATGTTCAAAATGATATTTAATTGAATATGAGAGCTTCGAAAATGGAATTAACACTAATTTAGATAGAAAGATTCATGTAATGAGGAATAGGAAAATTCCTTTACTCGCACTATTATGGTGCATAACCATGGAGTGAAAAAGTCAACTTAAAAAAGGACGGTGAGATGAAAGTCAAGTACCCAAGACATCTCATTAATCAAAGGTAAATTTCGAAGGCGAAAATGTTTTAACGGTATTGGTTGTAGAACCCCAAAGTTTTATAAATTTTCTCGCTTACAATTAGTTAGTCAATTGATAGTTTTGTCTGTTTAGTCATTACGAAAGTCAATTTATTTTTTTTAAATAGTTAATTGGATTTATACGAACATTCGTGATAACTGATGGACCAAGCTATAAGACCAGATAGTATGATTTGAGAAAAATCGAGTATGATTCAATTTAACGATTCATAGAAAGTTGAGTATTAAAGTATAATTCTGAAAAAGTTTTAAGAATAATTATTTTTATTGTTGAGAATGTTGCTGTGATATCTTGTGAATGGAAACTGGCTTTATAAGCCTGAACGCGAGATTTGAGCTATAAATGAAAAGTTCTAGGAATAGATTGTAAATAGTGAAAAATATATATATTTTTTAGATGAGAGAGAGGGTGATAAATTAGTATTGTTTAATGATGGGAAGGATCACTAGAAGAAAATATTTAATTTGGGTACCTTTTGATAATTTTGAGATGGCCAAAGTGAAAATTAGAATTTAGTTCCATACTTCTTTTTATTTGTACCAAAGTTAATTATATTTTGAAAAGTTGAAAGATTAAAGTGAATAGGTTTTAATTATTATATTTTTGGTTACATAATTAATTATTGATAGAGCGAGATTTAATAAATCAATAATTGACTTTTTTTGTAGCTTGTAATTAATTAGAAGTTTCCGCTTGAGAAAAAATTATTTTCGATAAGTTTGAACTTGAGGAAGATTATAAAAACCCATCTCCCTTCTATTTCTCCATACGTTAAATGTCATTTTATAATTAACCAAACATAAGCACACTTTATATATTCCTAGTACGAAAATTTTATTGTGATCTCCAACAGAAACCAAATTCCAGATTGAGAGGCACTTTTTGCTGAGAAATTATTAATTTACCATGTGGGCTGACATGTATAATTAATTGTATATAAAGTCTATTTTGAAGTTAAGCCCAAAATTTAAGCGACCCGATGAAGAATTAAGTAATTGGGTTTAGAGCATCTAAATAAAGTTTGGATCAGATTATATGTATAGAGACCGAATTCCTTTATAATTGTATTTTATGATGGGCAAAATACATATGAAAACTATGCCCTGTTTGGTACTGATTAAAATTTAGATTTTAATCAAATTCACAGTCAACAATTCATTTTAACCACTTATTTTATGAGTCTCACAACTTTTTAACTACGTATTTTATCAACTTCTATCAAAATATACTAAAAATCTAATTTTAATCCCCACCAAACAGGGGCTTTATATAGCGTTATGGCCCTCGATTCATTTGCAACTTTTCATTCTTTGTATCATCCCATCAACACAAGAATTATAGAGAAAGCATATTGAAACCCACAATTAAGAACAAGCAATCTACAATCAAGAATCAAGAAAAAGAATTCAATAATTCATGATAAAAATCAAGATTAAAGGTTTGGAAGACAAGATTTAAAAATTATAGGACCTATTTGGGCCACATTATTTCCTCATTAAAATGAAAAATATAACCGTTATCCATCACTCAAGCCACCATATTTGACTTTTTATCTCTTGCGTGTGACCCATAACGGCTATATTTTTCATTCTCATTTTAACAATAATGTGGCTCAAACGAGGGCATAATTCAAGATTTATCATTCGAGGGACAAATCAATGGATCAAGGTATATTTCACATTAATTAATTTTCTTAGTGATTTGACATGAATGATCTTAGTAAAGTAATTAGGTTTTCATGTTTATTAAGATTTAAAATTTCATAAAATTTCAAAAAGTGGTATCAGAGCCAACTCCATGTTAAACTATTAGGATTAAGGGAATAATTTTGTGGTTAAAATTCATATATTAAGTTCTGAAATATTTTAATTTAGAATATGAATTTTTAGCCATAAATTTCGAAATTCAGATTATTCAAGAAAGAATTTTAGGGTTGAAATTCATAATTAGGGTTTATATAAAATTTTTCAGATGTGAATTTCAAACCCTAGATATTTAAATTTTGGGTTTTAAGGTAATTTTTTTGACAATACAGCACACGGTGCTACAGCGCTATGATATGGTACTTGCAGTGTCCAGCATTGAGCCACACAACGCCTAATTTTTGCTGGGCACTGCATTGTAGGTGCTGTAGCGCCTATCTACTTTTTTTAAATTCAAAACAAGAAGAAATAATAATAATAATAATAATAATAATAATAATAATAATAATAATAATAATAATAATAATAATAATAATAATAATAATAATAATATAATGGGGCAATCAATTCAAATCTTGATACTTTATGTTTATTTTGAATTACTAATTTTCTAAAATAGATTAGTTGAAACAACAAGTTACCAAAGTAACGTCTCTTGACAAAAGTAATTTGTTTAAAATGTTAGGAAGGTTGTGTGTACGTAATTCATGTGAATATTCGTCGGCCCAAAGGAAGGTCAATATTTGGTAGAATTATTTGCACACCTGTGGTAATAAATATATGACAATTGTAAAATTTGCCATTATGCAAACATTGAATCTGTTTAAAGATAGAGTTGATGTTTGATCGGATTTATTGTCAACATTTGATTACTACACCAAGAATACCACTTACAAGTTGATATTTCTGTCTAAGATTAAATATCAATTTTGTGCTAGGCCTCTTGTGATGGGGCTCACCATTATTTAAAATTATTGACTAACCAATATGGATTTCCATGTGAACATATTATTTAGGTTTATGTTCTCTATTCAGTTAATCTATCTACTTCTACAATATTTGTCATTATCAATTCAATTCTTGTGCTTAAACCAAAGTTTAAGGGCTGAAAAGAGAACATTTGTATCATTCTTGGCGAGATGGGTCTAAACTTTGCTTTAAGGACCGAACAATCCATTACTCTTACGGATAAGAGTTCCGCTAATAAAACGGGACTCGAGTAAGTGGGATTGTTCAAACTGCATAAGTCGTATGATCCTGAAGCGAAAAGTTTCAGTAACATTTATGGGCGATATGTCCAATAAGGTAACTGCTAAGAACTTTTTTAAAAAAATATTTCAAAATGCTTTGTGAAAAAAACGATAAGGCAGAAACTAGTATGCTTCTGACAAAGATGGTTTCACTAAAGTATAAGGCTAAAAAAATACGAGAGTACATCATGAATGTGTCTCATCTTACTTCAAAGCTAATGGCATTAAAGTATGAGTTGTCTAATGACTTATTCATGCATATATTTTTTATTTCTCCTTCTGCACAATTTGATTAATTTAAGGTCAATTCCAACTGTAAAAGGGACAGTGGATTCTTGATGAGCTCATTCATACTGTGTGCAAGAAGAAGAAAGTCTAAAGTAAGAGAGAATTGGAAGTACTCACTTGACAAGTACTTCTAAGGACAAGTTAAAGAATAAGAAAGTTACATTCGGTTCGGTTCAAAGGAAACAGCAAACACTTGAAAAGTATAAATCATCTAGCTGTTATTTTTGTAAAAATTTGGGACATATGAATAGAGATTCTACTAAGTACCACGTTTGGCGTGTAAAGAAAGTATACTTCTCACTTTGGTTTGTTCTGCGGTTAATTTAGATTGAATACCAAGACACATTTGGTGGATAAATTTTGTTGTCACTACTTATATAAGTGTGTTTATGCGAGATTGTCTAAATCGTCAAAAAGCCAATTGATGCTGAAAGATTCATTTATGTGGGACGATGGCAAATTAGTTAAAGTTGAGGCCATAAGGACTTTTAAGTTATTATTAAAGAATATTTATTATTTGAATTTGAAAGAGACATTTGAGGTATCGTCTTTTTAGGCAAAATTTGGTTTCGGTTTCTATATTGAATAAATTCGGTTACTTTTGTTCAATTGAAAGTGGTAAGTTCGGTTATTTTCTTAATTCAAATATCATGGTACCAGTCCTTTATCCAATTATGATAACCTATATCAACTTAATACTGTTGCCTCTTATAAAGAAACCTTGCATGAAAATTCATGTGATATTAAACATAAATTGACCAATGAGAATTCCGCTTCATTATGACATTACAATTATGTCGCATCTCTCAAAAGAGAATGAAAAATCTTGTCTTAGAGGAAATTTTTGATTCTCTTGATTTTTCAGACTCAAGTATTTATGTTAATCACATTAAAGGGAAATAAACAAAATATAAGGAGATTAGGAGCCAATAGAATTCCGGACATCTTAGAACTAATTTATACAAATATCTGTGGGCCATTTTCTTTGGCTTTTTCGAATAATCAACAATAATTTATTATATTCATAAATGAAATTTTCTCACTATAGCTACATATATCTCATCTATGAGAAATTCCAAACACTGGACATGTTCATG